GAGCGGCTTGCCATTTGCCTCAAGGGTGGTCTTCCACATTCCCATCGAGTTTGCAACGAAGTCCCTTAGAGCCCTGTTGATATTGTACAACTTCAAGCATTCCATGATCCATGTGTGTGGCATTGAGTCGTAGGCTTTCTGGTAATTAATCCAGCCTGTGCAGGTTGGTGTGTCGTGACTGACAGTCTTGGGCGACTGTTCTGTCAACCAGGAGCTGGTGTTTGGCTCCTCTGGTGTCTCTACCAATGCCCTTCTGTGCTGTGCTCATGAATTGTTCCATATACCCACTTATCTTAGCCGCAATGATGCCTGACATGAGCTTCCATGTTGTGGAGAGACAGGTTATTGGCCGTAGTTGGAGGGGACTGCCCCCATGACAGGGTCCTTCATGATCAGGACCGTTCGCCCTTCGGTCCCATCTCTCAACAGCTGGTTCATTTGTGCTGCTAGGCGCTCATGGAGTGATGTGAGTGTCCTTAGCCAGTAGGCATGGACCATATCAGGGCCAGGTGCTGTGCAGTTTTTCATACCTGAGACTCTTTCTCGGATGTCTGCCTCTGTGATGGTAACTGAGTTCTGTTCTGGGAGGTGGCTGTGCTCCTCTCTCAGGGACACCAGCCATTGTGCACTGATGTTATGTGCTGCATCCTTCTCCCATATGTTCTTCCAGAACTGTTCAGTTTCCAGCCTCGGTGGGTCTGCTCCCCTGTTGTTACCCTGCCACTGAGCGTACACCTTCACAGGTTGTGTTGCGAACAGCCTGTTCACCCTTCTGGCTTCATTCTCTTTAGTGTACCTCTGTAGGCGGCTGGCCAGGGCTTGGAGCCTTTGTTTGCCAGTTTTGAGTGCTTCAGGTATGGTCATCTGGCTGTACTTTCTGGGTACTGGTCTTTTCATTGCACCTCTCTGGGCCTCTGTTAATTGACTCACTTCTCTCCGAGGTTTTTCCATAGTGGGTATTGTCCATGGCTCCCATGGTTGCTCTTATAGCCAAGCATCTCTAGGATCACTGCTGCTGAAGTGTATATCAGCTCATTGGTTTCAGTGATTGTGGTGGTAGGTATTGCCCTCACTGCTGCATTCACGCTTTCTATGAGATCCTTAGGTGGTACTTCACACAACCACTGTAACCGGTGTCTTTGCATTGTGCCCATTCTAGCCATGATCTTAGCTTTCAGGTCAGTCGCTGCCTCGTTCAGCGTTATCGGTTCCATTGGGGCTATGTACCCAATATCTGATTGGGGAGTTGCAGTTGGTGGGATCTCCCCTCTGACCTGTTGTTCAGGTCAGAGGGTTTAGGTCAAGTGAAAGTGAAATATTTGAAATTGGCCCATTAGCGCCCTCTAAAGACTGAGTCAAAGTATACATGGGGAGCCAAACCTGCTCTACTTATCATATTCATTACAATTTGACTAACAATCTTCTATGGCTACGGGAACAAATCATCACACGGCGGCGCCACCTCCTTTGAGCGGTGCTGCGTGGTACGGTGTGGTGCGGCGTAGTGCGGGGCGTTGTGGAGCGGCGCATTGCGGCTTGGACCCCGCAGGCAGAAAATGTGTTGTCTTATCAATGAATTTCGTAGCCATATCTTATTTGGCATACTAACTAGCCTTACCACTTCACTAACACTAGCGTATGACATAGTGTTTTGTGTTGGGACAACAGCAGAGGCCTTTTATCTCGTCATAAAACCCTCCAGAATTGTGCCCCATGTGACACATTTAAAGGTGACTGATGTGTTGATAATAACAGCCTTACATGTAAGATCAAAGTGTCTTGTAGAACACTATAAGCACACATGTGTAACGCTAACGTTTACTGCACATACTGGGCTTTTTGATGTAATAATGAATTTGTTTATTATTCCCAGAAAAGTATACAGTATATTCCATATTAGGGATCAACCAATGTGTTTTTTTTTTTTTTATCAGGGCCAACACCAATCGTTAATAGTCAAGGAGGCTGATAACCAATATATCATCTCATATTATCATATGATAGTATGAGAGCTAATTTGCAGTAAAAGTCATGATAATAATTTGCAGTAAAAGTGTATTAAAATTTTCAATAAATGTTACGGACGGACGAACGGACGGATGGATGGATCTTGTGGCACCCTCTGCGCACTTCCCAAGAGAGCACTGCCCGTGAGACCGTTCTCACAGATATGATACAACGTGCTCATCTATAAACTGCTAAATGCGGACAGGGCAGTGGCTGAGACAGTTTTGAAACCATCGTTTATGGGGCTTTATGCTCAAAACTAATGAAAAAACACATTACTTGGCTAGAGGTGAATGAGCAAAACAAATAGCCCTGCATAATACGCAGCGCAGGGTCTGCAACAGATTTACAAAGAAATTGATGGTCACACATTAAGTGAGTAAGTAAGTCATGTGTATTCGTATAGTGCCTTTCACAGACCAGGATCACAAAGCGCTTCAAATTTAAAAAGTCGTACAGATGAAAATAATACACATTCAAGTCAGATTTAAAAACGAAGAAACAGAAGAAAGTCCTCAGCATGAACTGTGATTTATTCAAAGTTTGCGTCTTTCCCTTATGGTGCTTTCAGACCACAAACGCTCCAAGGCTGAAGCCTCGCTCACCAGACGCACATTCTCTAGTTTTCAGACGCACGGGACTTCACACCAGAACGTCCTGGCCAGCACCGGAAGTGGTGGAAGTAGCCGGCCGGCTCTGATGCTAACAGAGTTATGCTAGCGGCTTCTTGTGTAAAGATCTTCTCCAATAATGCAGCTTTGCAGCGTGTCTTTGAACAGAGACATTCCACGGGCTTTATACAATAGTAGTATGTGTTCACGGAGGTGCGCCATACGTTTATTTTATTATTAAACGGTACTTCCGCATCGGCGAACACGCTTGAAGCAGTTGCATGAAGTCACGGAGCATGAAAACTCACATGTTAACCCTTTAAGCGCCAAAGTCGCAATATTGCGACAAGCAACATTGCTCACTTTAACAGGCTGTATGTAAAAATGTGGTACAGAATCTTAATACTTTTCACCAGGGGTTAGTGGACATGTGTGCCTGTAATATGAGCAGCATTTGTGGGTGTGGTTATATTGAAAGTTTTTGAGTAAATTGAGTTTGTAAAACACCTGCGGCGCAGCGGCGTGGAGGCGAAGCAGTAGCGGTAGAGCAGAGAGGAGCGAGAGCAGAGCAGAGGGAGAGAGTGTTTTTTATTTTACTCACGAGGTCTTCAGTACCAGAGAAGTACTTGGTCTGGTACTGGCTCACTCAGATTCAGAGGAGGAAGACACTCAGGTGTCCAGTGAAGCAGACACGGACATTATTGGTGACGGGGAGACCGCGCTCCATAGTCCACAATCAGCCCCTGTGCAGCGGCTGCTTGTCCTCCGTGTGGCCACGGTAGAAGCATTCTGTGTACGCCAAGCAGGGACCGTGGTCGAGGGGACAGGGGGATCATAACACCGGGCATGTGGAAGAAAGTAGCGGGGGTAGACATCCACGGGGAACACGGGAAACGCGGGAGAAGTCGCTAATCGCGTTTACTGCCTTTACCAACAGTGATGATGAGGATGAAGGCAGTTCTTGAGAGAAAATAATCCACAAAAGTGGATTAGAAGTGTTGAAGAGCCTGTTGTATGTTGTTGAGACGATCTGACATGTTCTGAGCCCATTCATTTCATCTCTCTGTTTGTAAACGGTAAATCCTTGAGCCTCATTTCCACTGAGAAAAATAGTCAGCTCACCACTTCTTTGAAAGGGAAATATTGAAACCAATCTCAAGATTTCATGACTGTAAACTATAAAGAGTGCTGTCTTGATCACTGAAGGTCTTTGAAAATAATACAATTCCATATGGCCGCGAACCAGTGCTAAAACATTATCTATAATCTGGATCAGGGAATTTATTTCTATCCCAAATTCATTTTATACTAAAGATATTTCACATTGACTGTTTATAGTATTCCCTGATCTCAAATAACTCCCAAGCTACAGCTTTTTGAAGTCTTTATACAATAATTAACATTTTCCAAAATGGCCGCCACCTTGATGACGTCACAATATGCAAATTAGATGACGAATCAACTTCCATCCCAAAGTTTGGTTCAAACTGAAGATATTTCTAATTTACGGTATGCCTTTATCTCAAACCATTTTAAAGTTATAGCCTTTTGAAATCTTGAAATCAAAATTGTATATTTTCTTGAAAAAACTCTGGCGCCTAAAGGGTTAACAGGCCCTATGTCCTCCATTGTCAACCCTGGTTTAGTCCTGATGTAGCTCCTGTTTGGCTGTTTACAGTATGTTCAGTCTGCTTGCTCAGACCACTAATGTCCCTGTGATCACTTTGCGGCTCTCTAATTGGTCGCCGCACGAACGTCCCAAGGAAAGGTTGAGCAAAGTTTATCTCCTGCGTGCATTGATTTTCCGCTTCTGCTCCTCCCCTTCGACTGCATTGAAGGCCGACGCAACGCATGATCCGGTCTGAAAGCACCATTAGGCTTTTTCTGATGCGCAAATTCAAATTTCGAAATGCTCAATGAGTGATGCTCAATGAAAACGCAGCTTATAATTTTGCCAGGGTGGAAATATGTTTATTGTTGTCGAAACCTTGAAATTTAAGCGTGTTTTGGCGTGTTGTGATGAAGGTTGAAATGGGTGTAAAATTTACACCACGTCCAGACTTATCGTATATTTTGTGCGTACCGTACACCAACGTCCACAATAATAAATGCCGAAAAGTGTAAATTTTTTGCCTACGCCTCACTGACACCCTGAAGTTTCATAAATGAGGGCCAATGAGTGTGGATTTGATCAAAATGATATGTCCTGTAATTGAGTTAATTATTATGTGAAAGCCAAAAATACACACAGCTCTAAAATGTCTCACATCTTCAGAGCATTTTCCATTGTTTCAATAGAAAATATTTCAAAATATAAACTTTACAAATGAAAGGGGGACAGATGGCTTAAATGCATCTGAAAGCTTCAAAAAGTACCTAAATCTAACTAACAGGCCGGAGTGCAGAGTCAGACTGGGGTGCAGGGTCAGGCTGGGGTGCAGGGTCAGTGCTAAAGAGCTGTAGGCCTCGGTCAGAGCGGGGCCACAGGGGGAAGGCCTCTCTGCGGAGCACTGACCATGCCTGCTGGTACACCACACTGGCACGCTTGTAGTCCCAGTACGTACACAGCCCTGGAGCCCTGAAAAACAAAGATCACAGTGATGGACAAGGTCCTGCAACAGATGTGCTCATTCTGTTCGAGTATAAAATATATACAAATACAGATTTAAAATGGATTAATCACTGCTCCCGATGGGAACTTACAATAACAAAAAAGTTGTAAAAGTTCCACTGCCCCCTAAGTATGTAGTGAGTATGTACAGGTGCGAGTAAGTATGTAGTGAGTATGTACAGGTGCGAATAAGTATGTAGTGAGTATGTACAGCCGTGAGTAAGTATGTAGTGAGTATGTACAGGCGTGAGTAAGTATGTAGTGAGTATGTACAGGCGTGAGTAAGTATGTAGTGAGTATGTACAGGCATGAGTAAGTATGTAGTGAGTATGTCCAGGCGTGAGTAAGTATGTAGTGAGTATGTACTGGCGTGAGTAAGTACAGGCATGAGTAAGTATGTAGTGAGTATGTACAGGCGTGAGTAAGTATGTAGTGAGTATGTACAGGCACGAGTAAGTATGTAGTGAGTATGTACAGGCATGAGTAAGTATGTAGTGAGTATGTACAGGCGTGAGTAAGTATGTAGTGAGTATGTACAGGCACGAGTAAGTATGTAGTGAGTATGTACAGGCATGAGTAAGTATGTAGTGAGTATGTACAGGCGTGAGTAAGGCCCTGTCCACACGTAGCCAGGTATCTGCTAAACCGCACCTATTTGTCTTTGTTTGCACCTGTCATCCACATGACAACGCATCATAAACTACTATATAAATTAACTCCGGGCAAAGTGAAGATTTTTGAAAACTCTGTTCATGCATTTGTGCGCAGACAGAGATAACCAGTTTGTGTTTTTGCACGTCACAATATGCGCCAAAACAATAAATCTGCTTTGAAGTCAAACGTACGACCTCTGTGCAATGTAGAAGCATGGATCTAACTGCCGTGAAAACTGTGGTTCCACCGGATCATGCAGTGGTTCGCAACAGTGGTTCGCAGCAGTGGTTCGCAGCAGCGAACATCCTCGCTTCACATAAGAGAGCAGCAAAGTGGTCACGGGGACTCGCGCTCAAAAACAACCAAAACAGGAGCTAAACCAGGATTAAACCATGGCTGACAATGGGGACACAGCGCTTGTGAAGATGTCTTTACCTTGAGTTCATACTTTGACTGTAAATAAGTGCTACTACAAGAGTACCAACGTTAACATCAAAGCCCCACCCACCACTTCTGCTTTGTGTTTTTCTCCAACGCAGGACAGGACATCAGAGGACGTAAAGTATACATAAAGTAATATGGATACAAATAATGTTTTAAACAGAGAGGGGAAATATGTATTCGGTTTTAAAAATACCCGGCTACATGTGGACATGATTTAAGCATGTAGTGAGTATGTACAGGTGTAAGTAGCAATTATGTACAAGTGTGAGTAAGTATGTAGTATAAGTGTGTACAGGTGGTCAGAGAACCAGCGGTTTACCTGAGGGAAACTGGCAGGACAGCAGGTGGAGTGGTCCTCACGATGCGCAGGAACAAGTCAAATAGGCTCCGCTTGCACAGCACAGACCTGAGCACACGAGGGTTAGGGTTAGGAGCTCTTTACTACACACCTGTGGACATTTGTAGCAATGTGACAATATCACACTCAACAATACTGTCATAGTGCAATGTGTAAGAGGGTTTAAATCAAGTACATTTCACCACTGAAGTTGGCAATACAAGGGAGAGATAGATGCTCCATCTGCCCTTTGATCAGCTTTTTAAGCTGTTCAGCTTGAAAAGTACAAACAGAATGTAGGCAAAGTTTTAGTAACTATTAGTCGGAATAATAATCCATTTTATTTCAATATGTTTACGTTCTATTTAAAAGTGTATACATTATAATCCATTCATACAGTTTTATGTAGCTCTGTGACCAATAAGAATGTCACAATTTGGTTCATTTCACAATCAATGACAATATGAAAACCCAAAATGTCCTCAGTCAAATATGCCGAACTTTACTAAGCTAAGAAGCTAAGACGATTACAATATCAGAAAAAGAAATCTTTATCGGAAATCACCAAACTCATTCTCTCCTGGAAAAGTGATACGAGATACATCCTCACTCCAGAAACAAAGAAATAATGCACAATGTTGGAGGAACTGCTAATTACACCCATATATGTTACACATTACAATACAATACAATACAATTTATTCTTGTATAGCCCTAGGTCACAACAGAAGTCATCTCAGAGGACTTAACAAAACCATTGAAATCACCAACACAGGTCAGAGAATCAACAGTTAAAACACATGAAGAATATGAGTGAATATAAGAACATTATAAAACAGTAATTTTGGGCAAGTGTGAGAATACAAATGGAAAGAACTTCTAACTAAAAGGTAACTTACATTTCAGCCCAGAAGATTAGTACATATATAAAACTTTGAGAATTACAGCATTAAAAATGAGTCACAAAATGAGTGAAATTAATACTGGAGTTAAAAATAAATGTAAAAATAACCCAAAAACATTTGAAACAAAGAAAAAATGTTTTGCTAGCAGGTGGTTTATGAAAGCAAGTGTTGAACGAACTGGAGACTTTTAGAAGTGATGGACTCCAGTACGAGAGCTTACAGAGCCTCTCTAAAGCAGTATTTTTCAACCTTTTTTGAGCTAAGGCTGTCATGGTGTGGGTTTTATTTTTGTATTTTTGTTTTTTTCCCGACATTGTTCTCTGTGGTTTGGTTTTAGTTGTACTTCCTGTCCTGTTTGCCCCCGTCTTGATTGTCTGCCCCGCCCTGATGTGTCTCACCTGGGTCTGTGTCTATATGTACCCTGTGCTTCTCTCCCCTTGTTGCTGGTCCATTGTATTGTCTTTGTTCGTGCCTTTGTTCCGGTCTCGTTTTTGGATGTTCTGTTACCTTGGACTTTTGTTTTTTCATTATTAAATCAGTTATATATTTTTATTCCTGCATTTTGAGCCCTCCATCATCTCACCACATGACAAAGGCACATTTTTTTCATAGAAATTTTTTTGCGGGACACCACCAGGAGAAAATGTAAAAATATACTCTGAGAATGTAGCCTATATTTACAATATAAAGTCAGAGTGCGTAAATCCAGGCCTTGACATTAAGCTTAAGCTCAATACAATGACTTAACAAGAGTTTGGGAATAAAGTAGCACTAACAGTGTGGAAATATACATTTAAAAAATCCACTCTCAACCCAAAAAGTCAAATAATGACTCACAGGGTTCTTATGTAAAATAATCAAAACATGGCCTGTTGTGTGTTCCGTTTGATTAGTTCACAACAAACATCTTTATTATGAGGAATTCATCTCGTTTTCATGAGGGTCCTCAAAAATAGAAACAAGTAGCAGCAGCGGTTGTCAAATAAATGCAGTTACAGTAAAATAAAAAAGTTACAGTAAATAATTTTTGTTATTTTTTATAAACAAACATTTTACTTTTGTGCACAAATAACATGCATTGTTAATGCATGGGGAAAATTTAGGTATCCGAGCTTTAAATTCGGGAGTTTAGGTTGCGCTTCGGGAGGAGACACGGGAGATGGTCCTGAGCACAAGTCCATGGTTTGGTCTACCATACTGCAGACATTGGCTGCTATTGTTGACAGTTTAAACAATTGCTAAAATGTTCAATTGTTAAAGCATTTCTTATTGTATAAGGCTGAACATCCCTAGAGTCTGAACTAGCGTGCTGGATTCAAAAAGGGCAAAACGTGAAAATAGTGAAAAATCCGCACAGCTACAGTATGTTGCTCCCAATCAGTGCCTTTTATTTACAGACCACGTAATAACGTTTCGGGCTGAGACCCTTCATCAGACATGATGACTGATTATTTGAAACTTTCTTATTTCTCATTTCAACAATAAGAAATGCATTAACAATTGAACATTTGAGCATTTGTTTTAACAGTCAACAATAATCTTTGTTACTGTTAGTAGAGTTGTTGGATTTTCATTAAAGTGAATTAGAATATATTAAAAGTTTAGACAGCTTTGGGTTAACCTACGTGTGTGATGGGATGTGATGGACGCATCAGCAGCATTCTCCCATCCCCCAGCCATTAAACACAGGAAGTTAAATTAAGAAGAGCGCAGAGAACATCTGTTTAGAGTAGCCTCAGGCTTACTTTGAGAGGGGCTACTGTTTGTCCTGAAACAGAGAAGGTATTGTCTTCACCTAAGGATGTTGGGACATATGTCTTCAATTATCATGGTATAAGACGAGAGCTCTTTGGTCCATTTCTTTGTCACTCTGCTGCTTTCCATCCAGCAGAGACCCAGACTAGACTGTAGTCTGTAACATGTCTATGTGTGTGATGTCCAGAACACTGAGTAGTTTTTTCACATATTTTGGTCCTTCTTGCGCCGGATGCCAACATGCTTTTCTGCGGAGCTGAGGATGCCTCAAACATGGAGTTGGAGCAACGGTGAGGTCTTCTTCATTCAGAACTGCTTTGAGGACTCCATCTTTGAGGCATGGCCAGTCTCCGGATTGAAGTTGACGGCAGAACTAGAGTTTCTGGACATCCACATGGACAAGGTAAAACAATTTTTTTCTAAAAAAAGAAACTAAATTTAAATCGTCTTTGAAGGCAGGAAATCCAATTTATCTTCTCAAAAAGCATTGGGGCAGTGAGATATCACGCACTTCTAAGAAAGTGGGGAATTTAAAAGGGTGAAAGTCCCCGTTGGTTGGTTCATCGGTACCAACAAAGCGACAGAATAGAGAAGACTTCTGTCCACTGGGTGAATAAACATCCTCAGAGAAGAGAAAACAAATTCAGCACTATGGACGCATACGTGTAGTTGAAAAACCAGATCTGGCCATTTGAGGGAAAAATGGAACATTTTGAGAGTGGCGATTTTTTCTTCAGCCGATTAGTGACTTTTTGGTAGAACTTTGTGGTAGCCTGCATAATAAGACAACAATTTTTCTAAATAATAATTTAAATTGGAAATTGAAATTTAGATATAAAGGCCTAAAGTGTGAGTGTGTGTGTACGTGCACGTTTGAGGTGCATCCTTTGTGTCCCCTTCTGCCTTTTCCCCTCTCCCCCCCCCTCCCTTTCTGCTGCTCCCTGTCCCCCCCCTTCCCCTCATCCCCCTTCTCCCTTGCTCCCAATTCCGTAGTATTTGTTTGTTTGTTACTGCAGGTTTTGCATGTAAGTGTTTGTCTTCTGTGTCTAGGACTTACCTGACTCGGTCTCAGCCTCCTATGCCGTCTCTCCTAGGTCCGCGCTGGTTTCTGTGTGCTGGTAACTCCAGTCTCTCCTCGGGTCTGCATTGGTCTCAGCGCTGGTCCGCGCTGGATCTCCTCCCAGGGTCCAAAATATTTTGAGATTAATCTCAAAACATTTTGAGATTCATCTTTAAAAAAATACATAATATATTTTTAAATTAAGATCATAACATTTTGAATTAATCTCATCATATTCTTAGATTAATCTCATAATTTTGCTAGTTCGACTTATTAATCATAATATTTCGACTTTTAACGTCAACATTTGATAACTTTTTATTCTCAGTCTGGTAAAGAGAAGAAAAAGGTGAACTCTTTTGCTCTGTGTAACTCTGCTTTAGGCCTGTTGCTGTTTCCTCTCCGTCTGCACACGGCCCTGCAGTCCCTTATAGGGCATTAATGGGCGGTTACTTATGCTAAGTACCTATGCTAATGAAGCACCTGGCACGCGCGCTGTACTTACGAGGAGTTGGCATTCATCAATCTGAGAGAACAGCTGCGAACAATTCAGCGGCTTACGAGTGCGTGATGAATCCCACGTGGGACTTCTTAGAAATCTACTTAAGACAACTTGAGAAAAATGGTTTCACTTCATAAATCTCTCATATTGTTGCGTAGTCGTTCAACACACGGTTAGTTTAAATCTCCGAGCCTGAAATTCGTCAATTTCAAAGCTTTCGTAACAAAGGCCTCCTTAACACGTTTCCCTTTTTATAATTACTTTTAATTTTACACCATGGTTTCACTTTGGATCCTTCTCTATCTTTTCTCAAAGGGACTCTAACCCCGAAAACGTTTTCTCAAAGGGACTCTAACCCTGAAGCTTCTTCTCAAAGGGACTCTAACCCCGAGACTTCTTCTCAAAGGGACTCTAACCCCGAGACTTCTTCTCAAAGGGACTCTAACCCCGAGACTTCTTTTCAAAGGGACTCTAACCCCGAGACTTCTTCTCAAAGGGACTCTAACCCCGAGACTTCTTCTCAAAGGGACTCTAACCCCGAGACTTCTTCTCAAAGGGACTCTAACCCCGAGACTTCTTCTCAAAGGGACTCTAACCCCGAGACTTCTTCTCAAATGGACTCTAACCCCGAGACTTCTTCTCAAATACAATTTAGAGAGTTTGACAGACCCCAAAAACAGACCAAAATTTAGCTAGTATCCAATTATACAGACTTTACATATAAAAAGGTGTCTGCTTACCTTATTCTTGTCAAACAGGTACCAAGGACTGTCCGAGAGGTCTGCCAACCTCTTTTCCGCGTCGGAATATTCAATTTAAAAAACAAAAGTGACAGAAGCGACAAGAAGCATCCAGGAACAGCTCTTCCAGCCTGCTGGAATCTCCGCTCCCAGACACAGCATGCCGGTCTCTCATGCAGAGGAAAAGAAACAGAGCAAACTCCCTCAAAACAATCCAGAGAATGGCACACACTGAGCCGCGCATTCTCCACCAAATCTGTTAGGATTTAGCAGACAGAGAC